GGACATGACGGCTGGCTTGATTTGAAGACTTTTGTCAAACTCATCCCTGTTCCGCTTGTCCTGATGGAGCTCCAAGGCTAGATCAACCTTGGACCACAACCATTCCGGCCTACAGTGGCTGCCGATAGGGGCTTCCCGTGCCTTTTCTGCCTTAGGCTTCAGCGCGGTGCACTTTTCCAGCTCATCCAACAGGTGATCAAACAAGGTTGTTTCCCTGGGTTGTTCTGCCACGGGGATTGCGGTCAGCACGTAAACGTACTTCTCCCGAAAGGCATCCAAGTCAGCAAGGGACGGACCTGCAAGAGACAACTTTAACAAGTTACGGCCTCCTAAGGTTCCGATCCTACCTCATTCCAACTGGAAGTGCTTGAAGATGGCACGCAACATGATTCTCCCTACGGGCATCCCACCTGACGAGATTCTCTCTTGTTCAACCATGTTTTGAAACAAGAGCCCAAACTTACCTTTGCGGCAGGTTTTAAGGAGCTTTGCGGCTACTTCACGATCTAACCGTGGGAAACGCTTGTCCGCGATGAGTTCTTGCTCGGTGAAGCACTGGTAAACTTCATCTCCGGGGTCTTCTGGAGTCGACCAATGGCCATCAAAACTTGGTTGACGAAACCTCTAGCCTGACCAGCGTTCTCCGGAGGGGATGGTAGTACAAGATCCTTGAGATCCTTGACACGGACAACGGACTCCTCATATGCGGCGTGATCTACGGCGGTCATGCCTACACTGGGGTCGGCAGCTTGAGACGGGTCTGCATTGGGGAACTGGCCAGAGCCTCCCCCACCTCCCCCACCACCATTCATGGTGAGGTGTGGGCACCGTGTCTTCATGGCTGCCGCCGCAAACTCGACATTGTGGGGTATCATCATCTCCATCGGAGTCTGATGATGAGTCGGAGCTAGCGGCCGATGGCGCTTGTGGGGATGACGAGTACAACATTGTGATTGGTACTGGCGGAACAGGAATGCCGTTGCCAGCTTTTGGCGGAGGCGGCGCCCCTGCAAGGGGCATGGGAGGCGCTGGAGGTGGTGCGGCCGGAGGCGGAGGTGGCGGAGCCACTTGATGAGCAACCAATTGGGGAAAGCTGCTGAACCATTTCCGCTAAAGCCGTCACTTGCACTCTCACATCGGCTTGATCCCTTGTACCGTCTCTACCCACCCCGCTAGTCCTCGACGCGCCCGGGGCTGCGTCTCCAACAGAGGACGCTGCTCCTAGCACTGCCGAATGACCTGCGAGATGTTGACTTGTTGCACCCCCACCAGGGTCCCTTGAATCAGCTGGGGCACCGTGACCAAGTCCTGAACTTTGAACAGAACCACACGGAGGGTCGGGGATAGCACTTGTAAAAGCATTCCCTTGCGGCGATGCGGCAACACCGGAGGCATCTTGTGAATCTGAAACCTGAGGTGCTCCAACCGGCTGATGGGTTCCTGGGGGAACTGTGCCCTGACTTGAGGCTTTAGCCGCGCTTGATTCCGTAGCTGTTTCGGCTATTGATGCGGCTGTTGGCGGGGACTCTTGAATCGGAACAGGGCTCGCACGAGCTTGTTGGGTGAGGTGCGCAACAACACGTTCGAGATCACCAAGTCGTTGATGCATCACAGAATTTTCCTGGGACAATCCACGAATGGTATGCTCTTGACTGGCAATGGTTTGTTCTCTTTGCGAGATTGCCTGTTGAGCCTCTTGAACGATGCGTTGAACCTCTTGCTGAGCGTCCTGTTGAGTGGCATTAACAACCTGTCGTGCGTTCTCGACATGGCCAATGGCTTCCTGTCGTGTCTGCTCGATTAGTTGCCTAGCCTGAGCCTCACTATGTTGTGCTGTTTGTACGGCCTGCTGGGCTTGCGAAGCTAGCTGAGCGGCCTGAACCCTAACGTCTGATACTTCCCTTACAGCCCTTTCCCTGATCCATCCGGCCTCTTGTCTCGCCTGGTCGGCGGCCTGCTGTTGGTGCAAGGCGTGATTGGCTGCCTGAGCAGCGAGGTCGGATGCTCGATGTGCTTGCTGCACCGCAGCTCCAGCAATAAATGCGGCAGCCGGTACGTTAGTCATCGGGTCAGGTAATTGCGATCCCTGTGAAGGAAACTGAATGGCTGGGGAAGCTTCGGATGATGTAGGTTCTGACACGATCGGACCACTCGGGGGTGATGATGGTCGTGTTTGGGCTGCTCGTTGAGGTGTGGATGTGCGAACTGTGGACATAGCTGCAGGAACCATGGCTAAGTCAGGGTCATCCGGTTCAGAATCCCTATTTGGGGTTGACCTTGAACGGGGTTCCGAGGGCGGTGATAAGCCCGTTGAAGCCATGACACAGCAATGCAATTTTGCACTCACACGAAGCTAGCTCCACGCGCTTTGAGCAGCGTGTCAAAAGGTGCTACGAGGAGATATCCCTGGATTGGCAGCTGGTTGCGAAACGCTCAAGTGAGCCACTCAAGAAAATACGCCCTGCTGCTTTGCACCTGATGAATTCTGTATTTGTAATTGTACTTGTAGATTGATTGATCCGCACTGCCGCACTATGGTGCTTTATCGAGGGATGTTGCCAAGCTGTATTGAGAATTTGTCTGCAAATCGAATGCCTGTAGCTGCAAAGATGCTGTACCGCGCAAAGCGACGGTTTTAACGGCTTGCAAAGAAATGCAGACCGATGGAGCTCCTCGAGGTACTGCGATGGGTGCAGGCCCCTTGCCGCCGGAATGAAAAGTCGATTCCGGGACTCGATGTACTCCCGAAGGTTCTCAAGCGCGTTGGCAAATCCGCTCGGCCCGAAATGCGGGAAGTTGCGGAACGCTGCGATGCCTGTCTTTTGAGCTTCACGGACAATCGCAGCTGTATCGTCGATGAGGGCGTGGGCACCCAGCCCCAAGAGGGCGTCTGCTTTGCCTCCCCTGCCCAACCTTTCGTGTACGATTTTTATCGCAGAGAATGTGAGTCCAGATGTCGTCCGCGCGTGCTCCAGGGCAACCTGGAACCTCGCTTGCAGCCCTGCCCACGAAGGATAGCACCACAAAATTGATAGGTGCGTAGTCGGCAAGAGCGATGATGAGCTCCTTGGGCGGCACTGGCCTTGCAGGCGGCGGGGGTGGCGCAGGCGGTGGCCTTCTTGGTGGCGATCGAAAGCGTGTGCCAGCCTCGGAAGTTGCAGCGCTAGCAGCAGCTGCTTTAACGACCTGCGGCGGTGGCGGCTTGACGATGTACCCGTGTGGCGGGTTTGAGCCCGATTTGCTTCTGGGTTCGGCTTTGTTCAAACCTCGCGGAGGCGCCTTGTACCCGAATGCACTCTGAGTCCGAATAGGAGACCTTGCTCGTGGCGGGGATTTCCTCGGAATATCTGCTTTTGCCGGTGCCGAAGAAGCTGCACGAGGAAGTTCCTTGGGCAATGGAGGCTTGCTGCCAAAAATGACCTTTGGTGCGGCCTTTGGTGGCGGCGGTTGAATTGCTCCAATCCTCCGGCTATGCAAAGCAATAGGCTCAGTGTGAGTCGGTGCCTCGTACACGCGCCGAGGCACGTAAGCTGACCTGCCAGTTCTGATGGATGAGGTTCCTCTTCTGAGCTGTAGGCGTCGAGGCGATAGTGCTCTGCTGGTCCTGGGCGTCGATCTGGAGATCGTGATCGCGAGCTTGTGGATGATCTTCTTGGGGGATCTCTCCACGTCTCGTCCGCAAGCGACTACGGGTCAGCCTGACAAAGGTGTCCGGATGTCCGCTGTGCTCGGCGGTGAGATGTCGCCTCACGTGGCTGTGAAGCCTCCCGAACGAGTACCTAAGTGCCGTGCTCGTCAAATCGTGTCACAGGGTATATACTGTTCTGTGGGGCCAATACGATGGGCCGTGTGGCAAGGGAAGTCCTGGATGGCCTGCCCTCCCGCGCAAGCGCGGGTTCAACACTGTGTGCCCGATGTTCCACAGGGGTAGCAGCAGTCGGTCCTCGTCTCGGAGGCGATGGAGACCTCGACCTTCGGGGCGATGGGGACCTCGATCTTTGTGGCGACCGTTCCCTGCTGCTCTCCCGCCGCGTTTCCGCAGCTCTAGCGTACACCCCGCGAAGCGCTGTCTTGGCGGCGCCCCGCAACACTTGTCTTTCCTCTGCTGATGGTCGGATGCGAGGCAATGGAGTGCGCGAATCTTGTAGCCAGGATGAAGCTGAAGGAGGCGTCGGAGGGCGTAGCCAGTCCGCTGCACTGCTCGCTGCTTCCGCCGCGCCAGAGGCTGCGGCTTTATCCTGAGATTGCACACCTTGCGGCAAGACCACACCTGCGGTTTCAACCGATGCGAGACGCTGCTGATAAGCGTTGTCCGCGGCCTGGATCACTTCGAAGGCTTCTTGGTCAAAATCCCACAGGTGCCAACTATCCAATGACTCACGCCAGGAAAAGAGCGCCTCGATTTGTTGCTTCGAGGCGTCCGCAAACCTGATCCACCGGAATCGTCTGTCCTGCCGTTTGTACTCGTCAACGACGATCTGTTGCAGAGTGTTGAATAGACGGGCACGCGGCCCTTTCCCACCGCGAGTGCCGCGGTGAGGGCCGGCTTCCATGTGCGACCAAACGGTCGCAGTCACGGAAGGGTTTGTTTACCCGAAAAGCGTTACGGCTGATAACCACTCAAAGGAGAGGGAAACACAGTTTTGTCAACAACGGGGGAACCCGGGACCTTAAAAGGAACGAACCCCTCCGTGACTGCGACCTCTCCCTTAACCTTGTGGGTAGCGCGAGCAACGCGCTCTTTTCAGCACTTGAGCCAAATGACATGCGGGCATGTCATCTGGGTCCTTGTCATGTTTGTACATCATGCAACTTGTTGTACCTCTGGGCCATAAATGTCATCGTGATAATTGACTTCTATATCCTGTTTTAAGACAAACCCATGAGTCAAAATGAACACCTCATGTCCAGGTCGCTCAAACAAGCCATGGACAGGTCTGGACATGTTTACGCCATGCACAAGATTTCTTGGCACGCAGGCGGCCGAACCTGCCGTTCTCCTCGGAGTCCAGGCCCTGGCTCCGCATCCGCTCCTTCAATTCCGCGCTCTCGGAGGACAACTCCTGGCGATTCGAAGCGAAAGGCCGTGGGCGAATGAGATCTGCCTGAAATTCAAGGCAGTTCTCAATAGTTCCGGTTGCTCTTGTTGCGAACCTCCTTTTCAGTGCATCCAATCCTCTGAATATGGAAACAGACCTGTCCCCAAAGCACACCTTCATGTAGGCTTAGTTTGGGCGTTTCCCAAAAACATACGCAAAAAACTGCGTCTCGTCTTGATTTCTTTCAAACGTCACCCAGTTCACCGGGTACCCAAAAGAGCTTCGCCGCCCGGGGCACCCCGAGGCCTCCACCCGCGCGATGGCAGCCCGGTGGGCCGAGCGGCAGGCCTCCGCCTGGCTGGCGGCGGCCTCCAAAGTGTCCTTCGCGGCGGAGAGCTCCCGGGCCTCGAAGGCGGTAAAAAGACAGGGGGCAGATGGGGGAAGACTGAAGACCGGAACCCAACTCAACTGGAGTACGTTCCGGATGGAAAATAGACATGTTGGACGCTCAACCTATGAAGCGCAAGATGAGATCACGCCGTTTTTGGGGCGATGTCCCGGCTTTAGGGGCCTGAGGGTCCGGGTTAGACTTTGTGTCATATATGTCCGGTTCAGCCCCCCCCCCCCCCAGCTCTTCCGCCCCACACACACACCCAAAAAAAAAGTTCAAGAAAAAGGACTCCCAAAAAGCCAAAGCGAGCCTGAGAAATGATTGGTATCGAATTAAGGGTGATGTGCACATGGAGAGAAGAAGCTTTTCGGAGTTGCTGCACTTTTCCAGGTTTGAATTTGGTTTGGTGTGTTTGATTTCTCCAACTTCCCTTTCTATGATTGGTGCTGTGGATGAGTAGGCTTTTTGCTCTTAGGGCCTAAGACTCGGATTTCTGCAATCCTGCCTTCTGCTGCAGAGCAGCATTCTCGGCCAGAAGCTGCTCATACCGCTCACTAAAGGATGTCAACATGCGCTGCGTCTCGGAAGGCGCCGAGGCCTCTATGGCAACCATCGGCAAGACCTTTCTGAGGGTTCGGCATGCCAACACCGCCATGTCGGCAAGCGGTAGATCTGGGTCGCCCCACTTGCCAGCCAGATCCTCATCGAGCTTGCTCAACACGTTGAAGCAGGGACTCTGCGCCAGAGCTGCGAACTCCAGCTTGGCGGCCTCGCCTCGCCCGCCCAAAGCATTGCTAGGCGCCTCTGGCCACGCGGCTGAAGCCAAAGGCGGCAGCGCCTTCGGTGTGGGGCTCTCCTCCTCGTCGTCGTCATCTGCCAGAGCCTCTTTCAGCTCGCCGAAGGTGGACTGGGCAAAGGCCTTGAGCGACTGCATGCAGCTCGCCCGCCCCAGCGCGCGCCAACGCGTGCTCAGCCATGGCCCAGGGCCCACGGATGCACATGAAGTGTCAGAAAGTCAGTACCTCTAGGTATGGCATTGGATTGTTTGTGAGAGAGGCTTGTCAACAAGCTGATAACCGGACGTACCACTGTCTTGCATGTCTGGGTCTCGTATTGCGCAACACCTGCGCAGCTTCACTTTCTGTCAAGCCGCCCCAAACACCCTCAAATGCATGTCACCCATGTGTCCCAACTTTTCTTCAACTCCGCCTTGCCCTTGTCACCTATCCAACCTCGCCGGAGTGAAACAGTGGCGTGTCCGAGCTCGGCCCCTGCAACAGGCAGCTCTGAAAACAGCCGCAGAAAACGACGACAACTTTTCACCTCAGCTCTTGCCCAGCCAAAGAAAACATGGTTACCGCAAATGGTGTCAACCTTAAACTGCTCAAAGCGATGTTGAGGTTTTTGGTGTTCACGCCGCTTTTCAAATCAAACTCAAGCACGGCGAATGCCCATCACGTGGCGCTCCGTGCCATCGGAGATCACCTTAGCTCGTCAGAGGGTACTCTGTGTGGGAAGCCAAAACAAAACTAATCATTTTGGGGGTCCCCTTATTTTGGCGTGTTTCAAGGGTACTATACGTTAAACCCACAGGAAGTCAGTTCTTGGAGGTCCAGTTTGGCCCGTTATTTTGACGCATACCCGCCTTGATGTCAAAGTTCACGCGCTCCGCGTCGATCTGCTCGATCTTCGGGGCCGCGGCGAGGATGGCATCCCTGTACCTCTGCTCTGCCTCCTTGTTGCCCAGGTCTTGCATGGGATTCCTCTCCATCGGTTGAATCGGGTCAACGCCTTGTTTCAACCATCGAGTTCAACGAGCTATTCTTCGAACCCCCTCTCAACCGCCAAACTGTTCAACCTCCTTTAAGCTTCCGAACCAAAACGCAGGGGCTTCAACCCTTTTCCTCTCCAAGTAGACGGTCTTGAGTGCTGGGAAGGAGGCCAAGTTCTGGATCCTTGGGCAGACGGCTGGAGACACGAGGGATCATAATTTCACTGCACCTGTCAAAAGCCCAAGCCAATTCATGCAAATGAAAAAACTTGGGACGTGGAAAGTGCGTGTCCACTTCTGTGATGCCAACACAGGCCTGCCATTGGCGTCAAATTCTCTGTTGAAAGAGGAGCCTCCCTAGTATCACAGAAGTGGAAACCCCTCCCTCCTACAACCCTGGCTAAAACAGATCTGAGTTGCACCATGCCCAGCTCCATAGTCCATAGCCCGTGGCAGCATGCGGGAAGGAAAAAGGTGTTTTTTTTTTACACGGGCCAAAAGGTGAGGCGAGTACTGAGCACGTGTCAAAATAGGGTTTCGACCCGACAAACTCGAGTGTTCCTTTGACTTTTCCCTTTTTGCCAACCTTGAATCGCCTCATCTGGGGGTTTGGAATTGTTGTTGGATTTGAACTCCCGTCGATGAAGACTACCTGCCAATTCAAACCACGAAAACACACACCCAGTTAAGTCCACGGATCTCGGCCAGGTCCTCGATCTTGTTGTCGTTGAGCCACAGCTCCTGATCCGTATCTCCAAAGAAACAAGTAAAGCTCCCCGCAGCCCAATAAAAATGAACAGTATAGCAGGGTCCCTTAAAGGATACAGGTACAGTGAGCAACCACCTGGTACATGTGGAAACCCTTTGACACAACTGGCAAATGTGGTCCTTAATGTGGCCAACATGCCTCCCTTGAGGAACCGTGCAAAAACATCCACAAACGCATCAAATCTATGGTAAAGGTTTGTCCGAACTCAAATCATGTTTGTCCAGGATGTTCCATCCGCTAAGTGAAAAACCATCGGAAATTGTGATACAGACCTTCTGGAGGGAAATCTCCGCCTCCCCATATTCCATGGGAAATGGAAACAAGTGCTCCTCCAGCTTCTTCAATTCCGGCATAGGTTTGATCTGGGTGATGGCGTTCTTCACCAGGTCCACCTCGACTAGCTCGGTGAGCAGCGCAAACTCTGGTGGCAAATTGGGGAGGTTATTGTGGCCCAGGTAGAGGTGCGTCAGCTGGCACCTCGAATAGAAAATCGACCCCTCGATCGGACCTTTTCTGGGGTCATTGTGTTGACGGGTTGGAGACACAAGCTGGGTCGCTTCCCTTCGAACCTGGTGAGTTGAGTCAGAAACTGGGGTTCTTGGGAATTGTCCAATGGGGATCCAGTACCAAAAAAAGATGACACGAAAAGTCCATCCAAACCAGAACCTCGCTCACTTGCCCCCAAAGTGGAAGTAAGCCCCTGCCTCCCCCACAACATGCAGCAGTTTTCCTTCACGGCCTTCACGCCTCCAGTCAGGTTTCATGTTGGACAGCAGGGTAGTCCAAACCCGTCCAAAGGAATCTCGAAAAGCATGAGCCAAAGCCACAGGTCAATCGAGGGGTCCATTAAATTGGGGGCGGGTTGTTTGGGTTCCTCCCGCGTGATATTCTTCTTGTTTGGGAATGGGTCCCATTGGCTTTGTTGGGAACGTCCTCTGAGAGTAACCTTACAAACCAACAAAATGCAATCACTTTAAGGGATTTGACCCCTGCAAACCAACCCAAGGCGAGTCTCGCAAGAGCACCCGAGAAATGGCCCCGCAAAAATTTGACCTCTAATGGAAACTCGCCTTGAAGTGGGCCAAGAGGCACCCAACAAGTCCTCATACCAAAATTGTTTAGATCACAAAACAAGTTGAACAAGGTCGGCTCAACCGAAACCACTGCTAAAAAGAAAACCCCACTTCTGTTAGGCGCAGGTTCCGGAAGAAGGCTGCGTCCCAAAGCTCCAAGCGGTTGTTCTGCAGGCTCAGGTGCCGCAATTGCGGCAGTGGGGGCAGCAGCATGGAGGCGATCTTGTTCTTTCCCAGCCATAGCTCCTGGGTTCCAAAAATCAATGGTTCCCCCAAACCGATAAATTTATCTATTGTTTAAAACATGGGTGTACGTTTTTTCTAGGGATTCGGTACCCTTTTGTGTTCGTGTGTGTGTGTGTGTGTGTGTGTGTGTGTGTGTGTGTGTGTGTGTGTGTGTGTGTGTGTGTGTGTGTGTGTGTGTGTGTGTGTGTGTGTGTGTGTGTGTGTGTGTGTGTGTGTGTGTGTGTGTGTGTGTGTGTGTGTGTGTGTGTGTGTGTGTGTGTGTGTGTGTGTGTGTGTGTGTGTGTGTGTGTGTGTGTGTGTGTGTGTGTGTGTGTGTGTGTGTGTGTGTGTGTGTGTGTGTGTGTGTGTGTGTGTGTGTGTGTGTGTGTGTGTGTGTGTGTGTGTGTGTGTGTGTGTGTGTGTGTGTGTGTGTGTGTGTGTGTGTGTGTGTGTGTGTGTGTGTGTGTGTGTGTGTGTGTGTGTGTGTGTGTGTGTGTGTGTGTGTGTGTGTGTGTGTGTGTGTGTGTGTGTGTGTGTGTGTGTGTGTGTGTGTGTGTGTGTGTGTGTGTGTGTGTGTGTGTGTGTGTGTGTGTGTGTGTGTGTGTGTGTGTGTGTGTGTGTGTGTGTGTGTGTGTGTGTGTGTGTGTGTGTGTGTGTGTGTGTGTGTGTGTGTGTGTGTGTGTGTGTGTGTGTGTGTGTGTGTGTGTGTGTGTGTGTGTGTGTGTGTGTGTGTGTGTGTGTGTGTGTGTGTGTGTGTGTGTGTGTGTGTGTGTGTGTGTGTGTGTGTGTGTGTGTGTGTGTGTGTGTGTGTGTGTGTGTGTGTGTGTGTGTGTGTGTGTGTGTGTGTGTGTGTGTGTGTGTGTGTGTGTGTGTGTGTGTGTGTGTGTGTGTGTGTGTGTGTGTGTGTGTGTGTGTGTGTGTGTGTGTGTGTGTGTGTGTGTGTGTGTGTGTGTGTGTGTGTGTGTGTGTGTGTGTGTGTGTGTGTGTGTGTGTGTGTGTGTGTGTGTGTGTGTGTGTGTGTGTGTGTGTGTGTGTGTGTGTGTGTGTGTGTGTGTGTGTGTGTGTGTGTGTGTGTGTGTGTGTGTGTGTGTGTGTGTGTGTGTGTGTGTGTGTGTGTGTGTGTGTGTGTGTGTGTGTGTGTGTGTGTGTGTGTGTGTGTGTGTGGTGTTTGTGTGTGTGTGTGTGTGTGTGTGTGTGTGTGTGTGTGTGTGTGTGTGTGTGTGTGTGTGTGTGTGTGTGTGTGTGTGTGTGTGTGTGTGTGTGTGTGTGTGTGTGTGTGTGTGTGTGTGTGTGTGTGTGTGTGTTCAAGTGTGTGTGTGTGTGTTTTTTCCCGGGAGACAAACAAAAAGGTTTCTTGTTGGATGGTGTTCAAGAAAAACTCTGTTCAACAGGGACTTGGGGTAGGGGTGCTTGGATGTTCAACCCATGGGTTATGACCATGGGTAGTACTGTATGTGGGTGGTTGTAACAACCACCTTTGGATCAAATCACCTGGCAGAGGCCATTTTTGCGAGAGTATCGCGAAGGGCTCTTCTTCCGCATGGAGCCCCTGGACGGTTGTCACAAAGCAACTCGCACAGCTATCTGCGCAGAGCCACTTGCTCGCAGAGAGCAACTTGCAGAGCTGAGTGGTGTGGGAATAGTCTGGATGTGAACTGTCTGCGTACAGTGTCTTTGCAAATAGCTTTGGTGTGAAGGTCGAGTTCTTGGGCAGAGAGCTAGGCTCGGCGTCATCAGCTATATAAGCGGATGTCAAGTTTCGACAAAAAAGAACTTTGACTCTTAACGCGCCTGCTTTCGCGAGTCTGCAGAGACCGGTATGGTTGATGTCCAAACTTAGGACTTTCTTACGATTTCTGCAGCTGGCGTGGGCGATGTCGAAAAACTGAGGACTTTGGTCATGTACAATTTCCCGACGCGCGCGACCCTCTGAAAATTGGAGTGGTCGATGTGCAAGAACGGACTTTTTACGATTTTGTGGCCGGCAGACCAATCCTCTGCGGGGATCGGCGTGGCCGATATCGCCGATATGCAAAACTTGTGGACTTTTCACAATCGCTCTCGCCGTGACCCCGCGCGAATTTTGAGACTCTGCTGCTTGCGAGCTTGTGCTTGGAAGTTTTCTCGCGGTTTGCGCGACTGCTTTTGCAATCGCGCGGCAGCGGGTTCAATCGATTCCGGCTGGGTCCGCGGGAAACTGGGAACTTTTGAGGACAACAGCACAACCTTCAAGTGCAACAGCCGCAGAAAGTCGCGACTTGCACAAAGAAACTTGCACAAAGCACTCGCGGAGAGCGAGGTGCATCCTTGCGCAGAGCACTCGCGCAAAGACGCTTGTGCGGAGACACTTGGAGGACATGGGAAAGTTAAGGTTAGTCAGCTAGTCCGCTGGTTTTGTTGGGGCGTGCAAAATTTGAGGTAAGTTGGCCATGCGCGCCACCCCAAATGGGCCGCAGACAAATCAGGATGCGTTGACCGAACATTTGAGCCACGCTGAATCATCACCGGATGGAATGTTGATGAGTAATGCCTATGTTTGATGGCATTTTTTGGTGAGTGCAGCGAATGCCATCCCCTTTGTCAGCATCCCTTGCAGGATACATCTGCATCAGCCGGTATTTGTGTGATTTTGCTTGCCCAAAGTGTATCCGAGAAAAGGGCCCTGCTGCCTGCCGTCCATGGCAATTGGATTTGCCTCAAAGTACGGCAAGGCCTTTAGTTTTCCTTTGGTTTTCCCTTTCAAGCCATCCCGAAAGCGTGCCCTCAACATTTGCCTGGTTTAGGCTGAAGAAGTTTGGATCCAGCTATGCCCACCCTGTGGGACAGACAGTTGACCGACTGACCGAACCTCCAAGTTCGCCCCCTTTTTTTTGGCGCCTCCAAGTTCACCAGGGCCTCGATCTCCAACGGCACGGCACGGACCCGGTTCGAGCCCAGCTCCAGCATCTTCAGGTGGGAGAACCTCACTGAGAATTCTTTGGGCCAGTGCTACCCTCCGTGCTCAGCCCCCCAAGGCTTGTAGCTCAGTACCATTTTTTCCTGGGCTGAGACAAGAACTGGAAGATGCCCTCCACGTCCGTGATCTTGTTGCTGGACAGGTACAGCCGCTCCAGCTGGTCGAACTTACAGGCACCAAGCGGCTCCATGGAACGGATCTTGTTGAAAGACAAGTCCAAGACCGTGAGCTTCTGCAGGTGGCTGATGTTATCAATCCTCTTCAAAAGGTTCTGGTACAACCTTACCCAAAGTTCGCACGAGGGACGCCCATGAAGAGAATCCAAGCACTTCCCGCTCCAACAAAAAGCAACACACCCAGCGATTAATCCGCGGTCGACATTCACTCGCCACGCTTTCCATTGATCACGCGACAGGCCAAGCTGCTCCAAGTGTTCCAGGTTCACATTTGTCTCCAGGTTCTCGATCTTCTCGACACAGTTCGCCACCAGGCCTTGTGGCAACCCTGGCCGCTCCATTTCCGGGGCAGCCGCTCACATATTTCATGCCCTACTTGACCGCAGGTCATACAGAAGCGCTGCTTTGCCTCCTTGCAAGGCGGGTGGCTCACAAGAAGGGGCCTCCTTACCAAAAAGCCACCAGACACTGGAGAAGCGGCTTGTTTGGTTGCAAGGTGACCGTTTGAAAATTTCCTGGACACTCACCCACAGCTTACGCAAGCGCTGCAAACACCCGCGCAGCGCCCCCGAACCCAGGTTGACTGTGCACAAAGCGCGCCCCACTTCCTTCCTTGCATCTGGCTCGCTCGACCCAGTGAATTCCGTTTCATTCCCAGAACCCAGCCCCTGACTCCCGGACGCGTGGCATGGCTCCTATCCCGCGCCATCCCATTAATTCATCTAAGCGGCAGAGTTTCTTCAGCTTCCTGAAGCGGGCATCTAAAAAAATGAGGCTCAGCCACTTTTCCTTGTGCCGTTTGACCCCCAGGTGAGAAGTGTGTAAAATCCCTCCCTTCTTAGTGAATGTGGATCCCCAAAACCGGGTGGTGTGAAATGAACAATGGCCTTGGCCAACTCGACATTTTCAAATTCAAATTGAAGCCATTCATCTGCACTCCCACCAATGCCGACCGGTTTCGCGCCGACTGCCTCCAAGTTTTCCAGCTTCCTAGGCATGACAATCTGTGGGTTGGGGTGGGGAAATTTCCTTGAGGGTCAGCAGGAGGTGGAGCTAGTCATACTCCAGCTTCTTCCCCACAGAAAAGAGACCGTGTTAGATTGGGCAAAGAACCCACTCAAGTGCAAAAGACCACGCCTTGCACGAAATCTCGGAAATCGTCAAGGTCATAGGGATCATTGGGTCATTTAGAGTTCCCTGAATTATCTCAACTTCTTTGCTTCCCAGGAGCTTGATTCGCGCACACTGCTGGTGGAGCTCCTCATCCTGACTGCCCAAACTTCGCCATTCACGCACTCATTGCACTCGGTTCGCACTTGCTCAACAATTTCCTAAGGGTCCACAAAGGCTTCAAAGAACCTAAAGGACCAGACCCTCCTGACACCCTCCTGGAACCCTCCACAAGGCAAAAATATGCAGCCGGACAACAACAACAGCGACAACCACGACCGCAAAGCAGCACCCATCCTCAGGGTCCACAGGATAGTCCACCCCCAGGCGGTAGTACGTGGGCCCCTCATCCTCGTGCTGCTCTGGCAGCTGCACACGGGCACGCCGTCGCTCGCTGGGCCCAGCCACTGGCACCGGGGGCGGCGGCACGTCGCTCATCTCCGCCACGTCCGGCGCATCGGCGCCTGACTCGTCCACGTCCATGGCGAGAGAGGTCTAATGGATCCGTTGTGTCGAGTCCTACGGGGCAATGCGCTGTCATCTGTTTGCTCGAACTTGTGAGTTGTGTGGGTGCCTTTGTGCTTTTTCGTTTCAGGTTGCGGACCTGCAGGTCTAGTGTTAGAAAACAACCGCTCCGAGCGAATGCCATCATCTAGCTTGAGGTAAATCACAAGTTCGCGGCAGCGCACAAAATCAGCAACCTGGGATTCGACCAAGCATGCTCTAGTTGCTCTCCTCGGTTTCTCCCTCTTCTTCAAACTGCATGGCATGTGAATCCACAACGAAGCAGCGCTCAACCCAGGTGAAAGCGCCCTCCGCCACGTCCGGCGTCCGGCCTACACCTGGGTCCGGAGACCCTGGCGAGAAGGGCGCCGCCGTGGGCGCCCCTGGGGCATTCGCCATGTGCATGGCCCGCACCTTGCCGAGGCTAAAGTGATTGCGCGGGCTCTGAAAGAATGGCATGGCCAGCATACAATCAAAGCCCGATCAAATGCGTCATGGTCAGAACGCCCTGGGTGGCAATCCAGATTTAGAGACCTGTCCTTTTACCAGCAAAAACATGCAACAACGCGCGTCCACTGCAAACATGACGACATCCAACTACACCAACAAGCAGGATGCTAGATGATTCGAGGTTTTCGCACGAGGAGACGAGTCTTTCTAGAATTTCTAGTCTTTCTGTCAGTAATTACTGGCACGCTGGCAACCATGTAGGTCGCAGGTTGTCCTGCAGTCCTTTCATTCCTGAAAGCGCCAAAGAGTGATGTGGCGAACAATGCCAACGGGTACGGAAATTTGCTAGTTCACTCTTGTCGTCAGCTACAGGCCCCCATCCAGGCAGCGGTGCCGTGGCCATGGAAGCTTGCTCTCATCAAAGCAGCCTGCCCGCGATGGGTTTGGTTTCCGAGACGTGTGATATGGACGTCGGCCACGTCTGGAGGCCTTTTGTCTTTTGAGTGTCTGCCCAGGACCACGAAAAGTAGCAGACCCTGACGCTCTGAGGTTGCAATTGTAGTTTTGATCCTTCCATGGAACGTGTCTGCAGACTGTGACCTGGTCACGTGTGCAGACTCAGCAGATCAAGCTAGCCCAAGCACTTTCTGGCTGGTGGGGACAGTGAAACACGTCAAAAGCCAAAGTACGATCCAACCCGGCGCCCTTCCCGACTCTGAAAACCTCAGCTCGCAACGACGGCTTGCTGCCCGGCCGCGCCGGCCTCGGATCGCCGATCGGACCGAGCCCGCGCCGGCTCGGATCGGATCGCTCTCGTGGCGTTCACTTTCGCATGGTTCGCAGGCTTTGCATCTTTGGCGTCTGGAGAAGCTTGAAAACCTAAGATGATGTCCGAAACACTTAGTTTGCCGAGTACGAGGTGGCAACATGTGTGGACTTGAAAAGACACATAGGCGGGTGTTACTGGGCACCCTTTGGTGGGCGTCATATGTCCAAACATTTCTGAGGGCTACTGCTCACCATTTGAATGTAATGACACAGCCTGTCATTTGTCCAAAAGGGGGCTGTGTTCGCTGATCCCTGGCAAAGTTAAGTGCCAACAGAAATGGCCCGATTGCCGGGTTGCTGGGTGGAGATTGGGTTCAAAAGGCTCATTTTGCGCCTGGGTCTCGATGGATGGCAAAGGTCCTAAAGCTGAAACCGCAAGGACACGATTCGAACAGTCGAACAAAATGACTTCAATACATAGAACGGTCAGACCTGCTCTCCAGGAAGGTTTCCACCCCTACACACCTGCCCCCCAAGGTAGCATGGAGTATATGGTGTTTTCTTCGTTGTGTTAACAGGGTACATGCTCCAGTTCCCCTTGGGGTGGTTAGTCAGTAAAGTCGGAACTCACCTGAGCCACGAGCCGCGGAGGCCGCCATCTCGGCATACTTGGCCGCATTCATCGCGCGCTCGGATGCCGCCTCGGCCGAAGGAGTTCGCAGCCACAACCCATTGACTCTTGGCTTTCCCTGCGCTCCAGATTCACATAGAACCTGAGAGGAGTCCATTCCTGCCCTTTTCTGGGTCAGGCTACTTTGCAGGGAGCTACATGGAATTGTGGTGAAGCTTAGAGGCCTTACTGAAGCCTTACCTTTGTGGGGTTTAACAGGTGTTTTGACATGCCGCTATCTGTCCCTCGGGGGCTGGGCGGAAGCTTGGCGAATAAGATTCAACAGGTCCTCGCAAGGGTTAAGTCGTATCGCTCTTTAGCCCCGTGCAAGAAGCCTTTTCAGAGCTCCTCGAACTGGCCGGGGGGAACATAGCCTTGACCTGGGCGAAGCTTTCCCCTGCAGTGGCTTCAGAGCTTTCTGTTGGTTATGACGTGTTTCTGCGGCCCACATGTGTTGAATCTGCAAGTGACCTCAACTCTTTGGACCAGTGAGTGTGAGGTCCTTGTGCCAGTTCCAGACCCCACCTTGTGCAAAGAGATTACGTCAGCCTGGAACGTGGCCCGTGTCTGCGCTCCGAGGGTACGAGCTTGGCCGGCGCTGTTCCTTACCACCCTTCATCTACCCGGGCTTTCATTGCGGCTCTGTGGCTCAAAAAGGGCTGGCATCTCAGACTCACAGCCCGCGGCTCATGAGTCCTCCATAGCTGGCCGTCGTCGGATTTGCAAACCTTGCGACTCGAGCTTGAGAGCTCAGCTCGTTGGATCTTGATGGATCGGGTGAACTTAGGCACCGGCGACGACGGCAACGGATGCCCTCAGCTTCCACAAAACATCTGACTCCATCCATGCCATCCCTACCATCCCCATTATCCCTACCATCCCTACCAGCCTCGCCATTCCTCCCATCCCCACAATCGCCGTCAGGCCCCGGCTCATCGCACTATGCATCACCTCAGCTCTGCTCCACATGGCCGCGGTCAAAAACACAGCTGCTGCCTGAAAAGCATAGCGGGTCCCCTAGTTTTCCCCAGGATGCGTGATGGGAATTTGGATGATCGGACCTCATTGGGCGTGGCTTCTTTTTGAGACATGAGGGAAGACAAGCTCTACACTACGAGCGCCAAACACACCAAATGGTGGGCACAGGAGCTCGGCTCAGGCATACGCGTTGTGTCGTGGCTTGTTGCATAATTGGTTGCTGTGACTATCAAAATCCAGATTCCCTGGAGCCGGAACCGTGTCGCATTGTCGCATGTCTGAAAACTTGGAAGAGTCATAGCCGGCCACTCCAAGCGGCCAAGCGAAAGTCCGACGGCCTGCTCCCACGGACTTTGGCCAAATGTCTCCAGCCTGCGCCGGGAATGGAACGATAGTTGTGTGCATGGCCAGAGCTCGGCCATCCCGTCCATGTTTAAACATCTGTTCTTCAACTCTTCCTTCCATTTCCTAAAGGCCAGGCCCTGGTCGTTGAAACCCATATTTGCCTAACCCTGGCGTTGTCATGTTTCTCATGATCGCAGCCAGCTCCCACACTGCAGAATGAGCTTCTTTTGCGGTGCGCCTGTTGCGTGTATCAATCCGCACCTCCTAAACACGTTCTTACAGCCAGTTTCTGGGCAGCTAGCTCAGTCTTGCCAGCATGCGTCGCCTGCTGGTGATGGCTCTGGACTCCTTGTCGGGGACGCGGAGTCACAGCGAGACCTGACACTGAGATTCGAGCTGCGAGCGGGGCCTGGGGGCTGAGGGGAGAGACACGAGTGCCTACGGATTCACCCGAAAAAAGAAGGATGTTTGGAGGAAACCATTTTTGCGAACCTCTTTGCTGGGCCCTCTTTTGGGTTGCATGTTAATCCGCACTAAGGCGAAATTCTGTGTCCGCACGGACGGGCGGATTTTTTCTACACCCTCGCGCACCAGCTTTGTCCCAAACGTCAAGCCAATCCTGGGACTGTCATGAAACTCCCGCCTGTCAGCCTTGCTACGGAGCCGTTTTGTGGTCCTGCTCCGTGCTGCATGTGTCAAATTATGCATTTGGACCCGACAATGATTTTGCTATTGCTCTCTCCCCTTGGCCAAAGTGAAAAGGGGACTCAAAAAAACACATGCCCAAGTAGTGCAACTCAATGCGCCGAAGTTGTAGTCCGATGTCAATCGTTCAGCCAATTTGCCGTCCTCTTCTTGCGGACTCCTGACAGCTGGCATTCCTGCCACCCAACTGCCATATCCTAGGCCTGCGCATTTGCCTGTCGAAACAGCTTAGGCACATTGCATGACCTTAGAGTCATGGACAAGCCAGCTTTCTTGGAAGAGAATGAATGCGACCCTCTTTGCAAAGTAATCGGCAAGGACTACCTCGGAGCAATTGCACAAGCCAACTCAAATTTAGTTGCTAAACGCTGGAAACACCAAGTACTGACATTCTCCTAGGCTGCTGTCTTGAATTGATGCACCCTGCACCCTTCGAGAAGTCGCACATCCCAAGCAAGTGGGTTTGTCAGAAAAAAGACGGGGTTTTTTCAACCCATTCACGGGGAACCTTCGCAACAAGCTCGTGTCCTGGATCGCGAGGCCTCGGGAAAAGCGGTGATTCTCTGTGTAAACACGGGTTGTTCATTGGACATGACCCTCCTCGACGCAGAGCACTGCAAACTGAGGGCACAGCTGGAAGTCGACGGTGGGATTACTTGGACTGTCGTTTCCTGATCCCAGGCTTTTGCCTGTTGGACTGCCTATGGCTGGGCCTTTGCCACTGGTTGGGCTGGTTGCGCTGTTTGGGCTGGTTGGGCTGGTTGGGCTGGTTGGGCTGGTTGGGCTGGTTGGGCTGGTTGGGCTGGTTGGGCTGGTTGGGCTGGTTGGGCTGGTGGGTGCGGGGCTGCCGTTGGTGCCGGAGTTGTGCGCAAGCTGTGGGCGGGTCCCCGGCAGCAAAAGCGGGACCTGCGCAAACGCAATGTGGCTTCGCTAATTTCCCTTTTCCAAAGTCACACTTGCTGACTCCCAAGCAAACTATCACAAACATGACACAGTGGTAAGGCCTGGCAACTTTCGGCTCCTGAGCTCGAACTTCCGCAAGTGGTTGAATCGGAGGCTTCCT